GAGAGAGAGAGAGAGAGAGAGAGAGAGACAGCGCAACGAGAGTAATTGCAAACATCATTTTGACACAAATATATGCTTGTATTGTACATATTTTGACGCAGTCGGAGTTTTGTGATAATAATTGTGATAACAATTGTAAATAAACAATAAAACGATAAATTTTACTACGCAATACGTAAAAAATGCATTTGAACGTCCGAGATGTCAGTCGGGAAAACAAGTTCACGCGTAGCAGGGCTGGTCGTGATTTATTCGATTCTACACATTTCAAATTTGTGTCATATTGTTTAACCATAAGTAATAGTATTTGTTTCTTGGTTCTGCAATTTTATTAAAATTGTAGTTTTGTTTAGGCGCGAGTATAATGTTTGCGAAAATTGTGGAAAAAAGAGAAATAGAATGAAAATTATTAAATAGTAAAAGTTGTTACATAATGTGTAAAATATATACGGATACTGTTATTCAAAGGAATTTTTCTTGTTTTGACGTTCAAGTCTCGAGAAACGGCAAGATCACGTGTAGCAAATATGTATGTGATTTATTTATTTAATTCTACAGATTTAAGATTCTTCTATATATTTTAATAGTATAAATTGTCCATTCTTTTTTGTAAAACGGAATATTTTTCTTGGACATTGCGATCGACCGAAAAAGAAAAAAGAAAACGAGAATAAAAGTGTTACTAAATAATAAATTTTCCTACGCAATGTGTAAAATATGCATATATTATTTATTAACAAGTATATGCTTTTGTTGGATATATTTTAACGCGATCCGAGGTTTGTGTGTAATAAACGGTACATTTTAATACGCGATGTGTAAAAACTGCATTTGGAGGGCCGAGATGTTTTTTTAACTTGTTTGCCATCAATCAAAAAAAGTTCACGCGTAACAAGGATGGCCGTGATTTATTCGTTCTACACATTTAAGATTCGTTATATTGTCGAAATAATAGTATATCCTTTTATTAAGTTAGAAACAAAGAGTTGTGATTTAAACGGGTAAAATTTAAATTTTACCCTTTCTCATTGGTGTGAATCATGTACCATAGTATGTAAAACTTGTAAAGGATAAAATGATATTTAACAAAGAATTAACAGTAACGAAAGAAATACTTATGATTCATTTTCTATTCTTATCACCAGAAGAAGATAAAATAATACAACCAAACAAATTTAATTTGTGTGCTGTACCAACAACTAAAATGTCAGTAGATGGACAGGTATATAAAGTAATGAATGCTATATTTAATAATGGACAGCGTATTGAAAACAGTCATTATACATGGATGTGTAGAGAAGGAAAATCTAGTTGGTTTAAAATAGATGATATGCAAATTAGAAAATACCATGGCCTAGAAGTGCTACAAATGTTTGCATTCTTTTCTTGACAAAAAGTACTTAAGGTTTGTTGTTAGAGAAAAGA